TACATTGGCCCAAGGTGAGTCGCGTCACACCGACTCGCCGCTCTGATTGGCTCTTCCCGGGAGCCCCGCCCCCTCAGCTGTATCCGCGCCGGCTTCAGCATCGCCGCCATCTTTGTTGATGTGTCAGCTCCGCGGGGGTTAGGGGGAGCCCGGGCGCTGAGAGCGCGGCGTCGGCCTCGTTTTCCACCGTTGCCCCTCGCGTCTCCTGATCTGCCGCACCCCGCTATGGAGAAGCTGGTCCCTAAGACGGTGCTCCCGCGGCCTCGGTAGGGGTGCAGACGGAGGCTCGGAGAAGTGGGGTGAGTGCCCGAGGGGCGCCCGGGGCGGACCGGGGAGTCGCGGTGGCGGCGCGGCGGGGCTGNNTGGGCTCCCGTCTGATAGGCCGATGGGGACGCTAGGGGACGGAGTTCGTCGTCCCCTGCGGTCCCTCCCTCTGTCCCTCCGTCGGTGCCGGGCTGCCTGCGGAGGACGCGGCTGGAGGGGTTGGCGCGGGTCGCGGGGGCCGCGCCTCCCGAGCGGTGCCCGGGCAGCGGCGGAATTTGGGCCGCTTGCCTGGCCTCCCGAAGGAACTGCGGCTCAGCCCCGCCTGCTTGAGATCTTTTCTAGACTCAGTCGTCGATATCTCCTTTCGTCTGCCCAAGTTCACCGTGTGTGTGTGTGTGTGTGTGTGTGTGTCATGGTTACTGTTGCGGCCACTTTTTACCTTCTTTTAAACACTGCCATCACTGTGATTTTAAGTAACCGAGAGAGACGATTCTTTGCGGTTGTGACTGTGAGAGATCTGGTCTTTGTTTTTATGTTGCCTTACTTCCAAAGACATGTGATAAACCTTGGGTGGAAAGGATGATGTTTCACATTTGTGTCTCTACCAAACGTGTAAAATGGCAAAGCTCCTTCTACAGGCCCCGCAGTCGCAGTCGTGGGGGACGGTGCAGGTGTGGTGGTTGCTCAGCTGTTAGCAGGTTGCTGAGTGCAGCTAATGTTCACGTCGTCATTTTGTTTGGAGGAAAGAGACCTGTGCCTTTGGAGTCAGTAACACTTGTATCAGAAACCGCCCCTTTCACTTGCTAGTCTTCTCACCTGTGGGAATTAGGCAGTATGTAGTAAAAATACGCCCTACCGTCCCAGGCATTTCGGCAGTTTTCTCCGTGCATGTGTCATGTTCCCTTGATGCCCAGCTTTTTTATTTTTTCCAAAATGATAGGTTGGAGGTTTTTCTAAGGAAAATGTGCAGTAAATTAGTGGGACAGTGTTTCAAGAGGTGTGCTGGTAGTCAGTAAAAAAAAAAACAACACACCTCTTTAAGTGTTTAGGTATGCTAGTGGGTGTGGCCTTCCCAACTGCTGCACTAACTAGGCCTTCACATTTGAGGTGTTGACCTTGTGGGAAGGATTAAGGTTCTAAAGACAATGGTAGTGAAACTGAACTCTCAGCTCGTGTATCAAGTTTACTGCTCTCTCTCTGTACAGCTACTTTTCAATTCGTCATTACACAAATAGAAAACAGTGATGATTGGCTTCCTTCTTTTGTTCCCTTCCTTTATGGTCTTTTCATGTTAGTTAAAATTCAGTGAAGGTATTGAGTAATTCACAAATCTTGCAGAGTTCAAAGAACTAAAACTCCTTTTTACATAGTAGTAGGCAAGCATGTATAATTACTGAAGAATCTACCTGGAAATGCCCTGCCTGTGTTTATGCACGGATTGTGTTTATATTGATTTTATTTTTAAGACCGTGTCTAATTTAGAATACCTGCATGTAATCTTGAATGTTTTCTTTAAGCAGTGGAGATTCCAGAGTGTCATTGGTATTTCAGAGTCTTACTTATTGCTAACACAGAAGGCATGGTATAGCACAGCAACCACTCTATAAACCTTTATTCCTTCTCCCATAAACTCAAGAGTTGCTCTTTGATGCTATACAATGACAGCATAGCTGATGATTGCTTAATGTTTATTTTAAAAATGTCTTATTACAGCTACATCCTGACATCGTGGAGTGAAGGTAGAACAGTGCAGCAGTATTCTCACTCTAGGGAGAGATGCTAGGACAAAGCAGCCTTATCTACAGACTTGGAAAAATCATCTTTGCCTTTGAAGAATGACTAGTAATCTGCACTTGTTTTCCAAATTCATCAAACAGTTTCATGTTAAAGAATCCTTAACCTTAAGTTGTTACTTTTCTTTGAATAAAATTTAGATTTTTCTTTTCTCCCTTATCTTTAGCTTTAAATAAGTAAAGCAAATTCTCAAATTTCTTAAAAACATGACGCTGAGCTTACAGTATTGTGAATGTTATATTTAATGTTCAGAGCATCAGTGGGAGCGTAGATAATTGAAATTTACAAATAACCCTCTAATCATATTATTTCGGATTTGTCCTTTGAATTTTATCTCTCATTTACTGAGATTTTGAATATCTGTTTGGGCTTAGACATAAACAAAAGGGAAAATAATGGGGTGAAAGGGCAATAGATACAAAGTGGAAATCAATCTAGCAAAGTATTGATTGGATTGTAAATGTATTTGTCAATAAGAGACATGAACTGATAAGTCTACAGTAGGGATGATTATGTAGTAAGTGCTAATGAATAATTTGATTTTTTGGGGTAAACTACATCATATCAAATTAACCAAGCCCAGGCCAAAGGTGGTTTCAGATAAGGCAGACTTACTACCTTTTTTTTTTTTTTTTTTTTA